ACACACACACACACACGGAGGGGGCAAGGCAATTTGCTAGTTGCGTGAGATCTTTTTAAAACAAAGCTAAGATGTCAGCTTAAAATATGCACAGTTTAATCAAGTAGTGACGAAGGAACGAGCAACAGTATTCGTTAATCAAATATTTCAATTAAGAAATCAAATAGATGTAAAGTAAGATTATACCATATCATAGGCTTGCATTAGTGAGGCTGAAGGATAAAGTTAAAAATTCTAGTTCTATCTCTTTCAGTTTCTCTTTGTATTCAGATTTTTGAAAGACTCTTAACTCAAATGTTATTTTGAACAATGTGAAGATAAAGCCCATATTACAGTTTTTGCCATATCCATGCATAGAAAAAAGGAAAAAGGAGAAAACCAAATTTTAAAAAACAGAAACAAAACAACAGGCATGATATATTCCTCAAGCATGATGGAATACAGCGGTGCCTTGACTTACGAACTTAATCCGTTCGTAAGTCCAATCAGTATTTCCCATAGGAATGCACTGAAATCCGATTAATTTGTTACAGCTGTTTTTTGTTCTTATGTCAAGGCATGGTTTGTAAGTCAAAGCATTACTTTCCATAGTAACTAATGCAAAACCGGTTAATCCATCCTCTACCACTAGGGGGAGATATTTTTTTTAACCTAAGATGACTTTGGTTTTTAAAAAAGGGCAGGAAAGGAGGGAGACAGACAGACAGACAGCCATTTTGATTACCCAGCGGCCCTTTTGGAGTCGCAGATCAGCTGTTTTTAAAACATCGAAACACTTACCGATCATCGCAAAGCGATGTTTACCCATTGAAAACATCATTATGCGGATTTGTTGTTAAATGGTACGCTTGTTAAGCGAGGCACCACTGTACTCTTCTACATGGAACAAGTGCTCAGAGATAAGTGCTTTCCATTTTAGATTATCTGTATTTCCATTTGTATTTAAATACAATCTAGTTTGTAGCATATGCAGATAGAAAATAATAACACAGTTAAAAAAAAGGGAAACCTCAAACTGACAAAACGTGTAGATCTGCCTAAGTAAAACTGGTTGAATGAAAACATTCCCAGTTTTTTTTAAAAAAAAACATTGTTAGTACATGATCTTAAGAAAACAAATTCACCATTACGCCTTGAAACAGATGGTGGATAAGAGGAAATACTACAACACAGGTATATAAAATTATGCTCAGTATGAAGAAAATGGAGGAGAAAGTTTTTTCTTTCTCCCCAAATACTACAAAACCAGAATGATTCAGTGAAGCAGCATGATGGCAGATTCAGGACAAATAAAAGGAAGTACAGTGGTGCCTCACATAGTGATCGCTCCGTATAGCTATGAAATCGCTTAGCAATGCTGTTTTTATGATTGCAAAAGCGATCGCTCAGCGATGTTCCCTATGGGGAAATTTCGCTTTGCAATGATCGCAGGGAAGCGATCATCGCAAAGCCCCCATTTTTCGGCCAGCTGATTGGCGGTTTCAAAATGGCCGCCGGGTAAACAAAATGGCCACCCACCATTTTCAGGTACGGATTCCTCGCTTTAGAGGCACCGAAAATGGCGGTGCTATGGAGGACCTTCGCTTAAAGGTGAGTTTTAGCCCATAGGAACGCATTAATCGTGTTTTAATGTGTATCTATGGGCTTTTTATTTTCGCTTAGCGAGGTTATCGCTTAGCAGCATTTTTTTCTGCACAAATTAACATCGCTAAGCGAGGCACCACTGTACAGAGATTATTGAATTTATGGGCACAAGACTCTAACTTGGATTGCTCTGAAAGGGAGTTGGATAAATTCATGAAGGTTAATGCCATTCGTGCCTATTAATCAGGATGGCTATCTTTCACTTTAAGTATCAGATACAGTATGCCTCTCAGTATAAATTGCTGGGAAACATGATATGGTAGGTGCAGCTGCAGTTCTCACTGGTGGGCTTCGTACAGGCACCAATGGTGGTAGAAATGACTCCTCAATTTCTTACAGTATTATTAGTTACCTACATCAAAGTCAATGAAGGAATATTTGAGAGCGGAGAGCTAAAACAGTGATATCAACCAAAGAAATACATCCCTCAAATACTGAAAAACTGACTGCAAAAACCAGAACATATACAGTATGTCCAATAATGTCCAATAATGGAACAAAACTGAAATGCTAAGGAACATTATAGCTCAAGTCTTTGGGTACATGACTGATCTGAAAACAGAATTCTGAACAATGTTTTTAAAATATATTGTTCTGGAGAACTTGATAAATAACTTGGTTTGAAAGAATGTAGAGGTGCAAATATTTAATGCTCATAATGATAAAGGTGTTTTCATATTATACTGCCAAAATACCCTTGGTTAAGGAGGATGCTTTTTCCACAAGTCAAATTCTTCCACTGTTTATTAAGATAACCCTAATTAAACATATACCTTCTTTTCCACTCAGCAAACATTCACTTCTATCTGAAGCTAATAATATATTTAAAGAGTGGAACAGATTCATTTTGAAAAAGGCTCTAAAAAGGCATTCCAAATACAAAAAAAGAAAAAAGGGCACAAATATCGAAAACTAGACATCAATGTACAAATCAAACACAAAAACTCTGGTAAAACAACTTACTGTTCAGCTACCTCACTCAAACACCGTAACTAAATGTACAACTGAAAACTACAGATATGAAGTGAAATGACAGCACTCTCTCAGCATTCATTCTCTGTTCTGCTGTTTGAAGAGTTTGATCAATGGTGGCTGTTTCACTCACTAAAGCTATTAATCAACAAAGCAATCCAAGAGGTTTGCTTGAAAAGGCAAGCAGAGTATTTCAGTTCTTTGGTGGTGGCCTTTTTTTTTTTTTTTTGCCTCAGTGTCGTCAGTGTGAACATGATACTATTTCCACCAATGCAGAAGCCAGGGGAAGGAGAAGAAGTGGCAGTGGAGGTGAGAACAATGTTCCATCACACCACGGTATGAATGCACATGTCAAAAGGCCTTAATCTGAGATTGTGATAAACATAATCTATTTATTTCCTATTGTTCTTCTGCTTTATATGACTGCTTGCCAATCAGAAGTAAATGTTTAGGTACAATGTATTCCAACGTCTGTTCATTATATAAAATGAATAAAAATAAATTTGAAAATAGCATCCTTTATCTTAACTAAGAGAGTTACAGAGAGGCTTTTTAATAACACCAACTCAAGCGGAGGAATACCTCTAATATCCTAGGAATTAAAAGGTTTTAGCAAATTTCTAAAAGACTACAGAAGGTCCATCTTGGCTGTTCCACAGCAGTGGTATCATCGTGGGGAAAAGACCTGCTTTTAACAATTAGCACAACTTCAGAATGTTATGTATAAATGATAGCATATTTATCCAAAAGACTTATATGAGAACAAAAATTTGTTTGCATTTGACTTACTTCAATGATAAGAAGTGCATTTTTAAGCCTTACTTACCTCATTATCTGATTCCACAAGTACTTGATCATATTCACTAAGAGCTACTAGAAACATAATGGAGGTAACATTTTCAAAGCAGTGTATCCATTTTCTTCGTTCTGATCGCTGGCCCCCCACATCCACCATTCTGCAATATTAGCAAAATCCGCATAAGTCAGAAAGTATGGTACAAGGAGTATGATTACAGACAGAATTCAATATAACCTGCTTCCCCTGAAAATAAGACCTAACCTGAAAATAAGCCTTAGTATGATTTTTCAGGATGCTTGTAATATAAGCCGTACCCCAAAAATAAGCCCTAGTTAAGTGAAACCCTGCTCTCCACCATTGTGCAGCAACCAGAAGATGACATGACTATAAAATAAAACATTCCATGAAAATAAGCCCTAATGCGTTTTGGGGGCAAAAATTAATATAAGTCCCTGTCTTATTTTCGGAGAAACAAGATATTGTATTTAATTACATTCTTAAGAGCCAATTCAAATTTTATGGTGCAAAAAATACAGTACATTCTTAAGAGCCAATTCAAATGATGACCAATCTAATCAACTATAGTTTGGTATTCCATTGATGTTTAAACAGAAAACAGGTATATATTCTGCTTTAGGAGTGAAACTACAAGATGATAACCAGAATAACGACACAGGTGTAATAATCTGGTAATAACCTAACAGCCAGATGATGTAGTGGTTAGGAGAGTTGGACTAGGGACATCTAGGATTAAGAGACTAAGAGCTACTTAGTCATGAAATTCACTGAATGACTTCAGGCCAGCCACTCTCTCTCTCTCAGTTTGATTTAGCTCACAGGACCGTTGTGAGGATAAAGATTATGCATCTTGCCTTGAGCTCAATGGAGGAAAAATGTATGATTCCACAGTGCAACTATGCCACACTAAATTATTCCTAAATCCACTAAGAGTGCAAGCCTTATTGTTTTAGCAATTCTGATATCAGTATCTCTTAAACCATAAAATATCTGCCATCAGATTCTTCTTCTTTTTCTTTTTGAATGGTATGGAGATAGCCTTTAGCATGTAAATGATACGAGATTCTGACAGCTAATGTGAATACACAACACATGGGATTGTGTATATGTCAAGAAAGTCTGGTGATCACATGCATTGTTGCAACAAGGAGCCTATATAAGGTCTGGGAACACGGGATCCCTTTTCCTCTTCTGAACAAACTGCCTGCAGAAGATCAGAAACTTCTGCTTCGATAGACTGACTACCGTTTACAGTTACATTCAAATACTAACCTGTGGCTAATCTTAATCTTCAATAGTGTGTCAACCTAGTGTAGTGGTCAGAGTTTGGAATTAGAACTCAGGGGACCCGAGTTCAAATCCCAATTTGGACATGAACTTCCCTTGCTAACCCTGAGCTAACCACATTCTTTCAGAGTTGTGAGGGGAGGAAGAGAGCCATGTATATTGCTTTGAGCTCTTAGAGGAAAAGCGGTATATGCATATAATATATAAATGCATAGCTACAGAGAGAGAGAGAGAGAGAGAGAGAGAGAGAGAGAGGTTACTACATGAAATTTACTTCATAAACCAGTTTGAAGCTGATGTTTTTCAGTATACCAAGTTAGTTAACTATGGTTTGTCTGGATTCTAACAGTACAACAAGCTGTATTTAGTCTAAAACAGCATGGATGTACCAGATGAGGGGCAAACACACAAGCCTGAGGCTCACATTTTATTCGAGTATCACTAAACAACAATTTGGACCTACGAACCAACACTTGCAATACTGATGAATCAAAATGGTACACATACAGTGGTGCCTCGCTAGACAGTTACCCCACATGACAGTTTTTTCACTGGACATTGACTTTTTGCGGGCGCTATAGTGATTCGCAAAACAGTGATTACTATGGGGGAACTTTGCTGGACAATGTTTGGTCCCTGCTTCGCAAACCAATTTTCGCTACACAACAATTTTGACAGCTCCTTCCGTGCTCGAAAAACGGGTGTTTTCAGGACCTATGCTTCACAAAACAGCTATTTAAACAGCTGATCGGCGGTTTGCAAAGCGGCTTTCCTATGGCCCATCTTGGCTAGACAACAACAATTCTTCCCCATTGGAACGCATTAAACAGGTTACAATGCATTCCAATGGGGAAATGCTTTTCACTAGACGATGATTATGCTAAACAGCGATTTCAGTGGAACGGATTATCATGGTCTAACGAGGCACCACTGTACTATGAAACATATGTCAAAAGACTATGTTTTTGTACCCTGAGTGTAAGTCAGAACAAAACTAAGTAACAACTTTAAGGGTAATGTTACAGGCTAAATTCAACTATTAATCTCTACCAGAAAAGACCAATTAAACATCAAGTTAACATATCCTTCACTCAGCAGTTCTACTCTAGCTGGGACTTACAATCAGTTTAGATCCCTGTAGTACTCATAAACTCTAGTATCTTTTGTGAGAACCTCAACTTTTCTCAAGAAGTACTCGTGTCCTACATTTCACCAAGAAAGGGGTCTAGCCATTACAGTACTTCTAATTCAAGTTTTAAAAAAGTTTGCATAAGATGTTGAAAACACATTATAGTTAATTATAGCTGTATTTAAAAATGCTCAGATATGAAACCTGACATGAGAAATATTATGCTCCCTTTTCAACCTGATTATATTTTTTGAAGTATTTTAAACAGAAACAGATAATGAGAACATAATAAGGTAGCAAAATACATTAAAAGCAGATTTTTAAAAAATTTGCTAACATATTGCCTACAGGCAGAATTTTACATTACCACCTGATTAGTGGATATAATCTATTGAAGAGATATGCAGATATACATAAGGATATTGCTAAAGTACGTAAAAATACTATATGCCTGAGCACAATTATTCTGTAATTGCGCAGATAAATAAATGTATTATGCATTCTTATGGAATTATGCAATAAGGAATTCACTTTCTTTTTTATTTCCGATTCCTGAACAATGTTAAATATAGGCTAGTTCATACTTTACTGAGGTGATGAAGGTGTCAGGATGAGGATCCATTTTACTTCAATTTGCAAACACATGACAAATTCTGCTGTTACTTTTTTCAAGCAATGGCGGGAAACCCCTAAAGCACTTCCAAAGAAGTATTTTCTATCATTATACTCGTTCAGTGTGTATTTCATATTGCTGACTAAAAATTTAAACACACAAAAGAATAGTAATGCATCAGTTTTTTAAAAGCATGTTTACCTGAAAATGACGCTTTGTAAGTCGAATGGATATTCAATGATACCTGTAGTTGGAACTCGGACTCTAAGCACATCTTGTTGAGTAGGCAGATAGCCAGGATCTGCTATACGGTCCAAGTCATTAAGGTAACTATAGGCAGAGAGAAACAACAGGAATGAAAAATAAGGATACTATAATTCCACTGACGGAAAATACAGCATGAGGATTTTTAAAAGGGGTGTTGATCATAAGGCATGTGGTGATAATACAACCAACTATGAAAAGAAAGAGAAAGAGAATGATTATTAAAAACTATTGAAAATGCAGGAAACCTGACACTAGGATTCACTTAATGTATTTAATTGTTTTTTTAAGTTGTGATTAAAAATTGCCCCAATTCCTAGGAGGATAAAAAAATCTCAAGGAAAAATTGAAGTTCATCTGTCGTGACACACACCAACTCTTACCACACAAGGAGCATTTCAGTAAAATAAGTTTAATGTGAAACAGGCATGATAAGATCTGTGTTGGCAGATACATAAAATGAAAATAATCTTGCACTATAAATGGAATGTAGTCTCAGTTCTCCTCTCTGGCCAAAGTGTAGGACATAACATTTTACTGTTATATGTAATTCAGTCTTTCAACATGTATTGATTTCTGAGTGACTTCAAATTTCAAAATCAAGCTCCCTTTGTGGCAAAAATTAGAACCGAGCAGCCTGACAGTGTGCAAGATAAAGATGTTTTATTGCATGCAGCTCACCAGTTATTGGCACATAAGGTTTTTGGTTCAGAAGTTTATGGCATTTAACATAAAGAACTTGGGGAAAAAATCTGTTTGCTTAGGAAATATCAGAAAACTGCGACCCCAAGTAGTGAGCATGTGCAGTTCCAATGAAGTTTTTTAGTCTATAGTTCCAATCTCTGTGTTTTCTCCTCATATTGCTACGCTGGTGAAACACATCCTCTACTTGGAAAAAAATACAGTACTTGAATTATGTAGCTCCTCTTGCAAGTTCACATTCCATGTTAGTATTCTACTACACCTTGTCTTGACTGATCTCAAACATTCATACAAGATCAAAGCCAGGTTAGCAACACCTAATAAGGGGGCTCCTGAACAATGGAGAAGAAATAATGATCTCTGACTGAGTTTTGGGCCCACTTCATTCCTCATTTCTACAGCTTAGATTTTAATGTCAGGCATGACATGTTCCTCTAATTTTTTAGTTCAGCCTGAAAAGTCAGATGCAGAACCCAGTGCATAATTTGGCATCCTGGAAAATATCAGCTTCCATTCTGTTTTTACTCTTGCCAAAGAAAAAGAAAACAAAAGTACAGCATCTTGATTGTGGAAGCTGAAAGTTCAGAAACCTGGGTTTCCACTGATCAGATTGGCAATGGTAGAGATAGGGAGATCTCTATCCCACACAGAAACTTATCTCTCCCATAAGTACAAAATCAAATCATTGTTCTATTATCACACTCTATTTTTAGTACTTGATGCTTGCTTCATTCCTTTATGAAGGATTATCAGAAGACACAGTGTCTCTGAGCATACACAGCAAATTTTGCCTCATCAGAAGCAACATTTTTGGTAGTTCCAGATAGAAGAGGACAACTGCCCACAGAAGTTGCTCACAACCCCTCCAACTTTTTTCTTTGTGGTTGAAGTAGAGATACTTTTTTCACAATCAAGGCAATCTGTATGTGAGAATATATGAGAGAGGGAAGAGGGGATATCAAGAAATTCAGAGAGACAGAGTTAGAGAGAATCAATGCAGTGCTCGCTCAGGGTTTTCATTTTTAACTTCAGCAACAGGAAAGGTGATTTTGGAGTTGGAAGCAAGGTTCCCTTCTAAGATGTGCAATTGGGCGCATGTAACTCTGCCCCCCTCCATGCAGCTTTCCTCCTCTTTTGTGTAGCCCCTTTGATTCCAGTTGTGACAGAATCCGAAAGGTGGGGGGAGCTGAGCTGTGCACACACGCAGTGAAGAAGTCATGAGAGAGAGAGAGAGAGAGAGAGAGAGAGAGAGAGAAAGAGAGAGAGAGAGAGAGAGAGGCTCACACAGAGGGGCTGAAAATTAGAGGGTACGTTGGTTGGAAGATAAACAATGACAGGCTTCCTTCTGTCTTACTGCCATTCAGTTCTTCTCCATAGTTTGACAGAGCTGCTTACTCCTAAGCAAGCCTAAGAAAAACTGGTGCTTCAGGTGCACACCTACAAATGTTTACTCACAAGTGAATTCCTCTGTTTAACAAAGCTCCTTCCCTGTTAAAAGCGCACATATGATTATATTCCAAAAGACTACTGAAGTGGAAAGACGTAAGTCAATTTGACTTACCTTGGGAGGGGGAAATAAAAGTGTTAATGTGAAAAATACAGTAATCCAATATTTCAAACACTTCCCATCCGGAAGTGGAACCTGCCTTTCTGCCTCCTGCCCATATTTTTCTGGTGCTGACATTATAGTTTGTAATCATACTCATAATGACAGTCGTTCATCAAGGAGCTTAATGTCATACGGCAACCTGTCAATACTGTCCTCACAGTGACTCCTGGGAAGCACACTGTGCTGAGAGAATGTGCCTGGAACTATTCAGCAAACTTGAGTGGACATCTACAATTGGGTGCCTGGTTAAAACCCAACACCTTATTATGGGTGGAGAATATGGGCAGTCCAGATGACTTCAATTCCTATTCGGCTTAACCAGCTGCAAATGAATAAAAATAAACATATAACAACCCTATAATGATTTACGAATGAGGCCCCTTGCACAGCACAGTGGGAGCCTTGTCTATTTACTGCCAAAACTCAGCTCAGTAATTATCACCAGTATTCTGGTGGCCTCTTCATCTTCTTTCTTCTTCTTGGTGTTCACCCTCTCCTGTTTCCTGCAACAACCATATTCTATGACTGGATAGTTTTTCTTACGCTGATTCATAACCTATCCAGAGGCCTGCTTAGAATCATTAAGATAATGGGAGTTTATACGGGTCTTTTTGATAAGAAAACCTATGACATGATACAGTCACTTTTGTTATACTCCTCGAATTTGGTTATTAGTTTAGGTACATTCAGTCAGGACAAATGGAACTGAACCAGGGGCTGTCTCAATCTAGAACACCAAGAGGTGCCTTAGACAAAATGAATTCTGACAGGGAGTCAGAAAATGCACATCTCCCTTTCCTATATTGTTATTTATATTCCTTGCAACTCTGCTTTGAAATTTACATTGCTTTCCCGTCTTACCCAAGGGCTCCACTGTACTATTATTTAAATGTGTATCTCCATGAAATCATTATCGACTGTGACTAATATTCTTCTCTTCCAAGCTATACCCCAAATCCAGGCGATACTAGAATTCTGTAGCTGCGTCAGAAAGCAGTGAGAGCATTATGGTCAACAGCTTGTTACACACGTATTACCTTGGTAATGCACCTCAGGCCTGTATCACTATGGTAACATTGCAGAATTGCCTCAGCAGCCATTCCAGATCATTTTTTACTGAGCAAATTACAGCTATAATTAACTTTTGAAACATGGTCTGTACTAGCAATATATTAGAATGTGCAATCTTTAAAAAAAAGGATGTTGTTTTATTCCTGCTTAAATGGTTAATATATTCCACTAAAATATATAAAGCAAATGACTGAAATATCCTTCTAGTCAGTATGCATATGTGAGAATACAGGATGTGACTGTCTGTATTTCTCTCAAATGTGGCTAAAATCTTCTACCTTATTACAGCTTAATGAGAATTTCCAGGAAAAACATTAGAGAGCATTACTGTAATTATAAATTATGCAGATATTCAGAGTGTCAGTTCTGAACTGCAATAAAATTTCTTGTATCCAAGTTGAAGGTCATGACTTTTAAATGAAGCTTCTTTTAATGCAGCATCCAAATACGATTTTCAACAGTCACAAAGCAGCTAATTGCAGGGGAAATCTTATTAGAGGTTTCAAGGAGTGTGCAATGATTATTAGTTAGACAGCACCATTAACATAAGCATACATGACGCCGTTCAAAATTATGCAGACTAGAAAGGCAGGCCATTACTTAAGCTAATGACTTTCATACTGTGTTCCAGAAAACCTCAAGATTACTTGGACACTTTATCTGAGGCTGTTCCACTGATCAAAAGTAACTACCATATTTTTCCATGTATAAGATGCTATTTTCCCCTAAAATTATTACACTAAAAATTGAGAGCTATCTTATACATGGAAGCTGGGAAGAGAGAGAACAAAACAGCCCGTACCTTGCCTCTATAAACCGGCTTCCTTCGATCACAAAGCTTAGCTGCCTCCAATCATGAGGCTTAGCTTCCTCCAATCACGAGCCTTATGGAACTGACATCAGCTGGTGATGAACAAACCAACTGGAACACACCTTGTTGGAGGAGGAGCCTTTAGGCTCAGATTCAACAGGGACTCCTAATGTCCAAGTGCTCAGAGGCTGAATACTCAAAACTAAGTTTTCTTAATTTGGGGGTTAGAAAAGTGGGGGCATCTTATAAACAGGGGTATCTTATAAATTGAAAAATTTGGTATGTTGAACAAAACCTCCTTTGCAGCAGGCAGATACAGGGGAGCTGTGGGGTATATTCAGGAACAGTCTTTTAGGTCATAAGGCAAAGAAAAGTGAAGCTAAATGAACCTGGCCAGTGCCTCATGAAAACTGAACTGGCACCCTTGCCACACCTTGTCATCCACAGCAATGTGCAGGTGCACAGGAGTTCCTCACTATGCAGAGTGGGTACTCCGAAGGTAGAAATGTGGGATATTCTAGTGTAAGCCACTGTTGCAATGGCTGCTCTTGTCTTTTTGCTATCACTTTGAAATTAGTCTATGAGGCCTGCAAAGCATAGTACGATGGGCTTCTTCCACCCACTTCGGCTTTCTTTACCCTTCATTTATTTATCTTTTTCCAAATGGGAAAGAGACATTACATTTAATTAAAACAACAGTCCTAGCTAAATTTCTAGAAAGGTGTGCACAACAGTAAGAGGCGAGAACAAACAAACAGGCAAGCAGACAAACAAAAAGCCAAAAATAAAATAAAGAGTGTCATGGTACCTTAGAGACAAACACATTTATTACAATGTGGGTTTTTGTGTGTGTGTGGAGTAGTATCCAGTTTTATTGCATCTGATAAAGCAGGCTCTAATCCATGAAAGCTTATGTCACAATCAATCTGTTAAATATTTATAATGGTACAAGAAAGCAGAAGTGATCTTTATCACATGCATGACCTTTTTACTCCAATACTGTTATATGGAATAGAATGGAACATCCAAACAAAGTGACTGTTTTTATAAGCATGTGGGATCTTTCTGGCCCTGCAATCTGTATCCATCCTTATGATATGCAGAAAATGAGACTCCACCATATAGAAGTGCAAGGCAATATAGCTTTGGCCAAAAGCTAGCATTAATATGTGCAAACTTATTCTTATTGCTGTCGTTATGAGGCTGACATTTTTATCATAAAGCAACTTCTATCCAACGCCTATTGAAATATATACCCACCAACAGATGCTTAGACATGCACCTAGTGTATAAGAAGAGGATGTAAATCTAATTCATAACTATTTCTCATTTTCAAACTGTGTTCTGTTCAATGAGTACCTGCACCTTTTTGGGTCCCTGTCAGGGTTACTGCTTTTGGTGCAGGAGGGATTGCTGTTTTGGTTCAGTTCCAGCATGTGTGAAAGTTGAGATTGAACCAAAGCAATTGGCTTCAGCTGTCCCTTTGCATAAGCTGCTTAATGATAGTGAGAAAATGAAAGCTTCCTTGATGCTCATCTGCAAAGGGGAAGGGCAGAGGAAGTTTTCCACTTCTTTTTAATTACTGCCAAAGGGGGAAAAAACCCTTTCAAAGCATCACTAATATGTCGTGTCAGTTAGCAATCATTAAAAAGAAATGGAAAACTTCCTCTACTTTTCCCTCCACAGGGGAGCAGCAAGGAGGCACAGGAGGAGGAAGGAGAAGGGCGGTTTGGACAGGTTTGGAAGCTCGGAAAGCCTCTGCAGAGGCTTCAGACTGGTAAGGTGCTGCTTTTTCTTTTAAAAAAAGTTCTTCTGGGTGCGTTTTGGAGGGTATGTTTGGGCTGGGGGGGGTATTTTTTTTTGGCAGTCCCATCATGGGACTTGACTTGCTCCAATGTTTATTTTTGGATTTGTTTGTTTTTTTGGTGGGTTTTTTTTTTAATCCTAGCATGGGGCTTGCTCTGTTCATTTTCTTTTCTTTTTTTGTGTGATTTTTTTTCTTTGGCCGAAACGGATTAATTGGTTTTCAATGCATTCCTATGGGAAATGGTGCTTCTACTAACGAACATTTCTACTTACGAATACCGTTCCAATACAGATTAAGTTCGTAAGTAGAGGTTCCACTGTAATACCAATCAAACTGATAAACTGCTGATGAAGAAGTGAGAGTCGGTCAATCAAACTTTACACCAAGTACACTTATAATCTCAAAGATGCCACAAGAGTCTTCACTCTATTGCTTTTTTTCTGCAGTCAAATAAATCCTATATTTTCTGCTTGCAGACTTGTTCTACTGGCACAAGAAGACTCTACTACAGCTCTGGAGCCCTGAAGTAGAGAAACATTTGGCTCAACTGCACAGTGTGTTCTTCAAGGACAAAGTTTATCTTTGTCTAACAGTCTGCTGTTTTGTCCTGAAATTGCTTCAACTCACACCTTGCTCTTCTGAATAATTTAAGGCCAAGATACAAATTCTTATTTTTCCTGTGTTCAAGTCTTCAAGTTTAGTCGTAATTAAGAGTGGTTTAGCTAACAGAATGGAAATTAGTTAGATTCTCAGTGGATTTACTCTAAGTGTGATCTGAGCAAAATCAAGGCCAACGTCTAAATCCAATTGCTAGTTCCAAGTAGGATACAGTGAATGAATGATATTAGTTAACACTTACACAAGTCCCACTGAGTATGAGTTTACTCTAGTTGAACCTAACAAGTGTATTTGGCCCATAATTATCTTCAAATGAAGGGTATTCTTCCTTTATTGGATCTGATGGAAGATCCTCTTTTGTAAACTGTTTTGCTTACTTTATGGTCTTAACAAGCACAATATCCATAATAGCTAAATTTCTTGTTTAGTTCCACTGATACTTGCAAGATATAAAGAGACAAAATAAGAAGCAACATTAGTTTTGTTTTCTTGCTGGAGCACCACTGGTTTGTTGTGTTGTCTGTTAATTGTCAATATTAATGATTATGCCCAGAATCCAAGGACAGAGTCAACCAATGTACCAATTACTCTAAAATGCTAAAATGTATGTACTATTTTTAAGAAGGGAAATCTGAAAATAGGATGATTCCCAGAGGTTAGTTTTGTTTTTCTGGAAAGCATCTGAAAATTGCTGACTATCATACATGTCTAAAGTTGCAGTACCTGTCCAAAATATCTCCACATTTATACTTACTATTTAGTAGAATCTGACAACTGATACTCCCGTCGTCTGTCATAGCATTCTTGAATTCCAGGGTCATTCCATAAAATCTTTATTGCATCTACGTAAGGGTTTTCAAATGAAGATACTTTCTCAATATCAACATCTCGAACTAGCTGTGCATTAGCCTATAATAATAATTGGGGAAAAAATCCAATTACATTTCTATTGATCATACAAAATATGAATTAAGTTGCACAAATAGGTCTCTACTTTAAAAAGATAAGGAATACCCGCATGGATGCAAGGTTACATGTTTTACTACACTTTATGATATTTGATTTATGCCCCAATTGTATTATTATTATTTTGTATATGTATTATTTTGTTACTCTGTTGTTTTATCTGCTGTAAACCGCCCAGAGTGGCCCTGGCTGACACATGGGCAGTATATAAATAAAATAAAATAAAAATAAAGGGTGTGTCCATCCTTTCTGAGACATGCAGTAAGGTGTGTCTCCCAGATATTTAGAAAAACTAAATACACTTTCTCCATAGTTTAAAAAAAGCAAACACAAAGTAACAGCAAACTGGGGACTTGGGGCAAGAAAGTCACAAATGGTGTGGAACAGAACAAACCGTGTGTGTGTGTGTGTGTGAGAGAGAGAGAGAGAGAGAGAGAAGAGTGACTAACAAGTGACTGCTGACTGACAAGTAAAGATGGGCACAAACCGCAGTTCAGTTTGGCAGATCAGGCCCATGGATGTTGTGAGGGCCCTGGATTCCTCTTCCAGCCTTCTCCCGTGGATGCCCATTCAGAGGAGGAGGCAGGACAAGGAAGCCCGGGGCGCTGCCTCTGAGTGGGCACCTATGAGAGGTAGGATAGGAAATCTGGGATGGCCATGCAACACTTGCGGCCTGATTTGCACTGAAGCGCCAAACCAGTTTGTGCCCATCTCTACTGATAGGTCACACCAGTGAGAACAGGAAGGATGGACATCCAAGATGCAAGGACACACTGATTATATTAAGGGTAAAGGATAAAGGCTGTACACTCTCCCTTCAACAACACCGCACAGACCCCCATGTAATTCAAAATGTGTGTATAACTCTTATGCCCAACCCAAATGTAGCTACAAAGCATAAACAGTTGATTAACAGATACAAAAACACAGATACAGACCTCCCCTTGCCCATGTCAGCCTTCTAGCATGCCCCAGCATTCTTGCTAGGTGCCACATGGAGCCACCATGCCAGGAGAGGGAGCCAGCCAGGCCACCATCATTGGAGTGCGAACTGCCGCACTGCCAAAAGTGGGGGTACTGGTAAGTCCAAGACTCACCTTTCTCAGACCACTTTCTGGAGATGCACAGCATCACAGTATTTATTTATTTTTTTTAAAAAAATCCATGTATAACCAAACCATGTGGCTCAGAAACATGCCGTTTTAGAGGGAAGTGTAATTTGAAGACATTTTGGCAACAAACCTACTACTGAACACCCTTATGCTCATTGCACCATAATGCTCCTACAATAGCAGATATAAAGGGTTAAAACAAACTTACACGATCAAATCAAAAGATGTAAATCAATATAAACACATCTGAAAAACAGTTCATGTTTAATATAACCTGCTATCATAGAATTAAGACCATGAGGGACCAGGCCTATTCCCCTTATTTCTGTATAAGCTTACATAAGAGGTTGGCAACTTTGAGAACTGGAACAGCAAATTTTCATACTTATTACCCTCTTGAGAGCTGCACCAGGCCTAGGAAAGGGGGAAAATTGTCTCCTCATAAAGCACTAGTTCTAGTTTTGATTTTGCATGTGCATGTTTTTATAGAAGGAAATGCTACAACGCCTGTAAGAATGATCAGTTCTGGGAGCTTCTAAAAGTGACGGGACACTAACTGAATAAATGAATCGTTTAGCCCCAAGTTCTCTGCAAACCACATGTTCTGTTTTAAAATCCAAACTGGGCAAACGAAAGTTTAAGGAGAACATTGCTTGTCAGTTTGGACAAAACAGCAAGTTATGGTTTGCACAGAACATGATACTACAAGAAGCCAATGTGAACGCGCAAACAGAGAAGGGAAGACACAGCAAACTGGCAGGGGACACTGGGACGAGATTCACAGAATGTTAACCATGGTTAGGTGTTATGTCTAAACTAGTCCATGATGCACTTTACACTGAACTGTTTGTGAACAGAAACTAAAGATTATCAGAAAAGAAATTAAGAAATTGTGTAAAAGGAAAACAGGTTCACTAAATTTTCTTTTCTTCTCATATAAAATCCATCATCTCATGTTTGTACTCTTCTTAGAATCTGACAACCTCAATATTTGTTCTAAAATGTTTATGGAGGAACCCCAGATCACTGACCAGCTGTTATATTTTTAGCACTGTTTTCTAATGTTACCTACTATTATATTATTACTTTGCTATTAACTGTAACTATAAAAAATAATGGTCCTCAACTGTAGCTTAAATGCAATTTATATGTACACATTTCCCTGGTGCAGCAAGATGAGTTAAGACACTACCATGCCCCATTTAAAAACCACTCCATTACTGCATATTGCATAGAACAGTAGAATCAGATGCCGATATTGTCAGAACAGAACAAATAAAATCAAAACTGCCAGAAAACAAGTTCAATACTGAACACACCTGCATCTATATACCTGGATGTGGACTTAATGCTGAGATTTATGGATATAGATTTAATGCAGCACCCAAAGTGACAATACACGAAAATGTTTCCTGGTGCCTGTGCCACTTTCTACTCCCTTTATCTAGTCTCTTGAGCTCCTACCCACTGCTGCCATAGCAACAATACGGCCTGTATTGTCAGAATATATACCAATAATGTGAAAGTGATGTCACTGCCTTCTGCAAAGCTGGTTTCACTGGCTTCTGTCTCTCTTGTCCACTTCCATACTAGGCTCCTTCCCTTGCTGTTTCTCAGCATCCTCAGCTTTTTCTCGCCGTTTCCTTGTTCCTTAACTCTGTTTATCTCTCCCTCCCATCTGCTCCCAACATCCCCTTTGCTTCTTCTCTGCTTTACACCCTTTTCTGAAGGGGGGCTCTGATGACATTAGAGACAGTAGCCAAATCATACCGAGAGATGCATTCAATGCAATAGTCATGTTGGAGAATAAGTCGTGGGAACAGACAGAACCACCAAGGCTGCAAACAAATGATTCCACATGATGAGCTGTGCACAAGCAAGATACTTGGCATATGCAAAGTCATAAGTGCTTGATGATTTTTTCCTCTTTCAGCTCTATTTTTTTTTTACTCCTCTTCAGCTTTTCCACCACCCAGTGGCATCTTTTCACAGGGGAGAATGAGGGACTGCTGAGGGAAGATTAGGTTAGGCATCCTTCAGTCTCGAAAGACTATGGTACCGTGCTCTGTATGGAGGACTTGGAACAGCGTCTAGTGTGGCTGAGGAGGCCGATTCGAGAGTGACAGAATGTGTCAGGATTTGGCCCGTACTGCCCTGGGAGCTGCAGGATCAGGGCCAACCTGAGCCAGGAGTGGCCTGGTGTTTGCGGGCTCAGGCCCTGGCCTGTGTAGCAGCTGTGGGGGGTGGCACTCATGAGGCTCACCTGAAGGCCTGGAGGAAAGGCTTATTTAAGGAGTGGTTCTCCCTCCCAGAACTTGCCTCAGCAAGGAAAGTCTCTGGCCATGCTGTGGTGTTATTCTTGCCTGGCTTTGCCTGCCAGCCTCCTTGTTTGTGCCTTGCCTGGTGGTTCTTGCTGTGTCTGCTTAATTTGTTGTTCCTGCCTTGCCTCTCTTTGCATCCCTGGATCCTGCTGCCTTGATATGGTTCCTCCTAGCTTTGACTCCTGGACTGCCTGACCACGGTTTGCATCATCCTTCTACTTGGCTGCTGTTTGGACTCAAAATCCTAACTGGTTGGTCTCTGCTTGGTTTTGGGGTTATTTCTAACTCATTCCTGTGGTCTTGCTCTGGACTCGGTTCTGGTGCCTTTTCTACTGAACCCTGACAGAATGGGTCAACTCAGATTGCATGGAATATCTTTAAATGGGGCCTACACAATTTTTGGGACCTGAAGTCACACCTGGAATTTTTTTAAAAAATGTTATGGACAAGACCATAAAATGGTTGCCATGAGTTATAGCCAGTTATAAGGCAAATAACTTGCCTAAGAAACTGAGTACAAGACATTGGATCTGAGACCAGACACCTAGTGATACAGATAATACATCTCTTGTAGCAGATTGATCCACACTTTCTTTCTCCCTGCCATACAAATTCTTTATCTATCTATTCCCCCACCCCTTTTCTAAAGTTCCAGTCCTCTGCTTTCTTGCATGGTAATAAGTCAATTGACCTAAAGCAGAAGTTACTTTCTAGTTGTCTGTCTATATCCATCCACTTTTTTCTTTTTTTCCTACTCTGAATCCTGCAGCCCCCATGGGAAGGAAAGGAGTAAATACCCCCAAAGTAAATACTGTACAATTTCAAAAAAGAAGTCTCCTTTCAAAATTACAAACAATGCAATGTTTGGTAAGGTTGTGTTGGAAAACAGTAAAGTACAAGAGAAGAGCGCTGGCAACATCATTTGTGTAGCATAAGAAGTCCATGTCCTGTTCAGTAATAACATTGAGCCAGGAGATTATATTTCTGCCAAGCTTGAGACAGGAAACAGGTCATGCAGGATAGCATAACACATTGTATATTCATGTTTAAGTTCATCTACCAAGCTGTCCAGGTGGCCTTTTGTTACGGGGGGCATAAACTATATGCATTCAACAAATATTTGCCATTTTCACAGTCTGAATTTGATGCATGTATATACTTGGCAGGAGAGCTATCTGGTCTCTCCATTTTACAAGAATTCTCCTCCTGTAATCTCTTTACTGCTTACCTCTTATTATTTTTGTGCCTAAGGCCTTTTGTTTGTGGCTTTATGTACCTGGTTGCCTAGAGTACAAAATACCACTTATCTTGTTCAGATATAAGGAGTGCGTAGGTGTCGTGACTCAGTGACACCTGTTTAAAATATACATGAAGAGGGCATAGCAAAGGATTGGATCCTGCTTCTATGTATCATACTCTGGTGTATAAGCACCTAAGTACACGTTTTCCTAATGTGGCCCTAATGCTTTTAGCACCTATTATATGAACCTTCTCAAAATAGAGAAAATAA